AACCCTATAAACCCTAAACCCTTGATTCTGCGCGGCCCTGGGTTGTCCGCCTTTGTGGATCGGGGTTTTCCCTCCTCAGAGTCGCTCCAGCCCACAAGGCCGCATCTAAACCCTGAGGAATCCGAAAGCCTAGACCCCAAAGCCCTGACCTAATGTAGGGTGTAGGGTTTAGGGTTTAGGGTTTAGGGTGTAGGGGCCGAATAATTATCAACACTATTTTGATAATTACAGTATATTGGGCCCCAAAACCCTGTTCTAACTTTAACTATTGCGAAGAAAGGCCCCTATATGAAACTTCCGACACCCTTTCGCCCTTGCATCCCTAAACCCTAAACCCTAAACCCCGATCCCGAAGCTTCAAAGCAAGGTACCGCCTGATCTATGGAAGCGGTGCACAGGCAGGGCCTCAATTAACAACAAGTAATAATTACTAGGGTTTAGGGTTTAGGGTTTAGGGTTTAACATAGGCTTTTGGGGCCCATACTTTTATAATTATCAAAAAATAGTGTGATTCTTGTTGCAGCACTTTAGAGTCAAGCGGATATGTCCATCATTCTTCGGAGTCGCATGTCTTACAAGGCCCAGCTGCGCTGATCTTCAACACCCAAAGGTCCATGGATAGGTTTTAGGGTTTAGGGTTTAGGGTTTAGGGTTTAGGGTTTAGGGTTTAGGAAGCTAACGCCCCTAGAAGCGGAGTTCGGGTTTTGGGTTGGGGGCTTTAGTATTTGGAGTGTTTTGAATGATGTAGGGGTCAGGGGGAAAAAGGTAGAATTAGGACAGCCATGAAGGTTGGGGATGTTATAATCCAGGGTCGCGAGTCAACAGATTCTTGTCCAGTTGGGTGGGCTCGAAGAATGAACCCTAAACCCTAAACCCTAAACCCTAAACCCTAAACCCTAAACCCTAATAGTCATTCAGAATGAACCCTAAACCCTAAACCGTCCGAAATTTGGGAGACCCAGGTTTGGTAGTCGAATCCTGTGGCGCAGGACCTTTCCGGCATGGAGACGGCGAATGGCAGGGTGAGGCCAGAGGGGGTTTTGAGTGAGTTCTACGGTTTAGGGTTTAGGGTTTAGGGTTTAGGGGTTTAGGGTTTAGGGTTTTAGGGTTTGGGTCCAGGGTTAATGGGGCTTTGCGATTCTGCCGGTTGGTGCAGTTCTCTAACTTCTAAGCTAGGAGCCTGAATAAAGAAACCGTGGCCCTATAACCTCAAAAAAGGAGGGTTCATCATAAGAAGCCTGATAAAGACCCATGGTTTCTTAATCAGGTTCCTGCCGTAATGTGCATTAGCTCAGTTTGTACTGGGATGTAGTGAGGGCTTGTAAGGTTTCAAAACGGTCCTTCTGCAGGAGGCAGGGCTTGAGGGCCGGAAGCCCGCGCGCAGCATACTGACGGATCCCTTTTCGTGAACTTTTAGGGTTTAGGGTTTAGGGTTCAAAAACCGATGAATCCTACGCGAAACCTTAGAATCCAGCATAAGGCAACTCCATCCAGCCCATACCCTTTACCATTCTACAACGCCCTATACCAAATTCCTAAACCCCAAACCCTAACTATGCGGAGCCTTGCCGCCCTTGTGCGAGTGTGAGAGTGGAAACCCTAAGCCGCTCCAAAGTGAGACTGCGAACCGACAAACCTCCTCTGTCTGAGTCCGAGCTGCGAGAGCATAAGCCGCTCCCAAATCCCAAACTCAGACTAAAACGGTTTAGGGTTTATAGGGTAAAATATCAAACTAAAACCTTTATAGGGTTTAGGGTAAAACCGCCTCAAAATAGGTCTTAATTAAAGCCTCAACCACTACTTTCGGTCATGGTTGGCAACATGCGTTTCACCTCCAACCGACCAATCACGAAGAGTGAGCGCCAAAATCCTGACTCTAAACGACTCTAAACCCTATAAACCCCGAACCCACCAGAACAACCCTAAAGCCTGAACCCCTTAAAGCCCGAACCCCCG